TTAAATTGGAAAGCAAGAGCTGATTTTAATTTGATCTTTTTCTCTACACGAGCATCATAATTTACAGTGCTCTGTTAAACAGTGATTTTTTTAAAAAAAATTTAAATAAAGATGTCTGGAGAGAGGGAATCTTTCTTTTCACTCACCATGAGAATGGTTGTTCCACTGAATATCTCTTAATTGCCTGACTAGTCAGACATGTTTATCCAATGAGAAAGAGAAGCATGTATTGAATACCAAATACCTGATTTGAATCCATTTATTCAATAAAAAGATATTGGGCATCTACTAGGTGAGAGGCACTGGAGATATAAAGACAAATAAAATTGACATGATCCCTACCCTCACACTGCTGAAAATCTAGAAGGAAACGGGTAAATAAGCAGTTACAATATGATGTGTAAGTGGTATGACAGAAATAAAGATCCTCTGAGAGCACATAGGGAATCAGGGAATGACAAGATCAGATCTGCACTTCTAAAAGATCACTCTGGCTGCACTGTGGAGAATGGTGTGCAAGACTGGCGGCAGAGAAGGAACGTAGTTTGAGATCACTATATCTATGATGCTGTTCTGTTGGCAGTTGAATGTATGAGTCTGAAGCCCCAGAATGAGATCCACCTTGAAGACAACAGATTTCAGGATTATCAGCCTGAAGTCCTAAAAGTGAGTGAGATCTCCAAGGAAGCTGTGACCAAGACAGACATCAACATTAATATTTAAGGGGTTGGGTGGGAGAAAAGAAACCCATAACAAAGACTGAGAAAGAGATGTCAGAGGAAAAAAGACAGAAAACCAAAAGAGATCAATGGCATGGAAGCCAAGGGAAGAGAATGCATTAAGGAGATGTGCTCTACAGTGTCACGTTAATGAAGAGCAAAGTAAGTTGAGGACTGAGAAAAAGTGTTGGTGACCTTGACAACAGCATTTTCATGGGGTGATAGGAGCAGAAGCCATACTCCAAAGGTTTCAGAAGATCCTGAGGAATGAAGAAGTGGAGAACCAGAAAAGTCAAGTAGTTTGGCCATGGAGGGGAGGAGATGGAGAAGGAGAAGAAAGTGAGAGAAGGAAGGGAAGGGAGTAGAGAGGGAAGAGGAGAGGAAGGGAGGGGAGGGGTGGGAAGGGAAGGGAAGGGGAAGTGAAGGAAAAAAACCAGTCAGGGATGCAAGGCTGAAGGAAAGTTTTTTTGTGTGTTTTTTTGCAGATTAGGGCTACTTGAGGATGCTTGAAAGCTGAAAGGGAAGAACCAGTGGCATAGGGGAGGAAGATAATAGATAGAGGGTAGTCCCTGAGTAGGATGGAGGAGATTGGATTCATAGCACAAGGAAGGAATTAGCCTTAGGCAAGCTAATTTTGGTGTAACTAGCAGGAAAGAAAAAAAAAATGGATGTGAATTTGAGTAATTTTGGAGGTGGGCAATTGAGGGCGGAAGTTCTTATCTAATGGTTCCTTATATTGTCCCTCTGAAATAAGCAGAGATCAACTGCTGAGAGAAAAATGGGAGAAGAAGGAGTGAAAAGTTTGAGAGGCATGAAGGAGGTTTGAAGTGGCTACTGGAGAGAATTAGAGACACTGCTGGCCAGCACCGAGGGGGCCCAGGCGAGATTGGAGAATGTACTAGATATTGGCATTGATCTGCTTAGTCATGTAATTTGACCACCAGCATTTAGAATCCCCAATACTGGTGTGGGGAAGCAGTTGGATTGATCCAATATTGTTGTATAGTTAGATTTGGTTGCAAGTGACCGAAGAGCCCAAATAACACTTGCTTACACATGAAAGAAGTTGATTGCTCTCTTACATAAAATTCAGGCAGACTAATAAGGCTAGAACAGAGAACCAAGGTGTCAGAAATCGAGATTCTCTCTAGCTCCTTGCTTTGCTATCCTTAGAATTTGGCTTCCATGTCATGGTCCAATACAGTTTCTCCAGCTCCATCTATTTTGTTTGCATTCTAGTTGGCAGGAAAAAGGAAGAACCAGGAGAAGGGCATATGCCACTTCCTTTTAAATCCATTTACTATAGCTTGGTCCCATGGCACATCTAGCTGCAAAGGAGGTTGACAAAGTTCATTATGGATGACCATGTGTTCAATTATAGCCTAAATTAAAATTTTGAGCCCAGACCTTGGGAGATACTAAGAGTCACTGCCACAATAGGGTTTGTCTGGATAAGTACAAGAGAATGGGGCTAGGAAGTAAATGTTATTGTCAAGTGGAACTTAAGTAAAGACAGAAGGGAGCCAATAAAGATTAGGGATGAGTTGAGTGATCTATTCATTTTTGTTTAGGTATCTATCCACCCCAGTGTGACTTATATACTTCAGGGGAAAGTGAACCCTCAGCTTCAGAGGTGTGTGTGCCCTGATAGTCTAAACGAGTATTTCCTGGCAGGGGCACTATTGGCATTTGAGGCAGGCCAATTCTTCATTGAACAGAACTGTCCTGTACGTTGCAAGACATTAGAAGCTCCTATCTCCCACCTACTAAATGCCAGTGGCACCCCTACTCATAATATTTCTAAATACTCCTAAGGATTACTTCTCACAGTTGAAAACCACTGGTCTAAATTAATCATGGTAGTCCCATCTCCCTTTGCACTGTAATTGGCTCACTGGTGGACAATTTAGGGCTGAGTGAATTAACACATGACAATCTCCTAGTAACCATGATTGGTTCATGCTGTTCCAATTAATGGAAGGTCAAAATTTTTATTTGATGGTTATAGACTCACTCCCTCTTAGTCCCTCTGGGCATAATAAGGAAGCATGTGGGCCCAATTGCTGCTGACATACAGCCTAGAACCACCAGGGGTGCCAGTCCCAGAATGAAGCTGACACTGAGGGTGGCAGAGTGGAGAGACAGACAGAAAGAGAGTCCTCAGTAACTCTGAACTGCAACCTACCCCAAGGCCCTTGCCACTGTTTAATTTTCAGTTACTTGAATCAATAAATGCCCTTAATGTTTAAACCAGTTAGACTTGAGCTGCCTGTTACTTACAAATGAAAACATTAATAAAAGAGGGAAGCAGAGGAAGGTTTGGTCAAGGGAGTGAAAGTATAAGGAAGGATGTAAATGAGAGTAAAGGATGTGATAGATGAATGGAGGGGCTTATGTCTTGGGCAGAAGCCAAGGAAAACATGGAGAAGAGGTATGCTGAGTTTGGCCGGATGCAAGACTTTACGAAAATTAATCTCTGTTTTCTTGGGCTGAGGATTGAGGGAAATCAGAACAGTTCAACATTGTGCTAGGATAGCCCAGTGAGGTTTGTATTAACGCCAATGTGTAGAAGAAGAAACTCAAGACTCACCCAAGGACCCAAAGCTAATAGCTGGCAGATATTAATCCCAGTGAGTTTGACTCCAGTGCGCAAGTTCTTTCCACTACTTCCCCAGTGCTACTTGATGCCAAAGAGTTGGAAATAACCACAGTGGGGACAAATACCCCTCATCAATCCTTTCCATGCCTCAATCTAGGACAGCAGGCAAGACTGACTGGGTCAAGAGGATTGTTTTCCCCTATAGAAAGGGATGACCTACCTACAAGACCTACAAGTTGTGTGGTCCTGTGTTTGGGGTGCAAAGAACAGATGGGTCATGGGTTAGCTGGAGAGGCAAGACAGACCCCTTATGAAACCAACATCAGCACAAATGAAAGGATTAACTACAGGGTGCACTGAGGAAGAGAAGTGGTTTGAAGATTCCTGGTGAGATGAAAAGTATTTAATATTAATTGTCAAGCACTGAATATCAGATTCTATGCATCTGCATTCTTTCTCATTACAGAAACTTTCATTTTTCCCATTTTAATTTTTTGAGTAGGTAATGCTTACATGTGATACAAAGGCAAGAGGTACAAAAGGTATACAGTGAAAAGTATGTCTTTCTCTCTCCACTGTCTCCCCCGTTAGCCTCTCTGGAAGCAACCAATGTTGACAGCATCGATCCCTGCCCTCCCCTCCTTTCCTTCCCCCTCTCTATTATAGGCTGAGGTACGTTGAGCTGGGCTCTCTTCATTCAGTAATGATACAGACCTCCCTAATGTAGCAGCCTTGAAATGTACACACTAAAAAAAATCAAATATACAAAAATACATATATAGTAACTCTATTGTCTATAATGACTTCTTGCTAAGATAATCCCCATTCCTGATGTAGGTAGAAAACACTTGATCTTGCTGATTAAAGATATCTCAGCCTCTTTAGGCTTAAAACAGTCTCCCTTGGGAAATCAGGCAGGCTTTCAGAGTTTCTCCCTCATCCCAGGGTTCTCCTCTCCCCTCTCCCTTTCCCAAAATGTCACCCAGGTGGAGGGGAACCTACAGGGGAGGTGTAGGGAAAGTCTGCCAACCTCCAGGCCTTCCTGGCCTCTCTTGGTGAGGAAATTGTTCTCTCTGGCTTTTGGGCCTACACTGATTCCAGCTACTGACAGCCACAGTCCCTCAGTGGTAAAGGCCACATGCCTTGTACCTTCTTGGCCCAAGGCCAGGCCTCTTCCAGCCCATTCATCCTGTCAGCCTTTGTCAATCTCCCACTGGATCTCCTACAGACCATGCACAGGCCCCTGGGAACGGAAGCACTGTCTCAAGGCCTCTCGTTGCCTAACCATAGCATTTCCACTGCTCTGTAGTTGGCCTAGTTCCAAATGGAAAGCAGGGTACACACTTCCTCTGCCTGAGGATTCCCCCACCACTCACCCGGGACAACTCTGTGCTTATACCCTCTGAATTGCCCAACTTCCTGTCTGCTACTTAAACTTTTATCTTCCTTTACAACCATGAGAAAATAGCTCTGACATCATATCCTGTGTTGTTCCTGGCACTATCTATGATCTGTTCAGGGGCAGTCCTCCAAGCTCTGCTTCTTGGGCGTATACAAATACATTTTTTTCTTTCAACAAAGACTGGCTTTTGTTAATCAAAAGCACTTGATTTCAAACTATTGTCTTGCCATGAATTTTTTAAAATTCTATTTTGAAACTCAAAGCTAAATTATGACTTACCCATTCTTGGCTGGGGTTTTTTCTCCCTGTGACTCAATGCATGCCATTGACTCAATGGGTGGCAGAACCAGGGGGACAAGGGTTTACTGGGAAGGCAAATACATTGGTTGAATATCTCACAAATGTTATCTCCATTACATCAGCATAAGGATTTCAGTGCAGGATGAGGGGAGCCAAAGTCAGTGTGGTAAATGTTACTTTGTTTTCACCTTGTGACATGGGTATACCCACTTCATGTGAAAACTCATGCCTCAAAGTGAACATGATTAAAACTGAACTATTGATTCCACCACTATCCACCCAATTAGTCAGGTGCAAACCTGAGTCGTTATGGATTCTTCTCTTTTCTTCACACCCCACATTTAATCTGTCTGCTATTCAGGGCCACTAAAGGGAAGGGGAGACTTTTTCTAATTTTCCCAACAGTGCTGTACAGGCCAGCAGTGGCCTCGTTGCTGAAATCCTAGGCCAAGCCACCAGCATGTGTCACTGGACTTCTGCCACTGTCTCCTCCCTGATCTCCCCACTTCTGTGTTTGACCTCCTACAATCCATTCTCCACAAAGCAGTCAGACTCATCTTCTTAAAATATAAATTAGATCATATCACTTCCCAGCTTCCCTGTTTTCAACCTTCCAGTAGCTTCCCATCATTCTTTGACCATCATTCTTTCCCATCTCTGCCTCCCTCTTCCACCTCATCTCCTCATCTCCTTCCAAGACTTTCCTCTTACTCTGCTCCAGCCATACATGCATCTTTCTGCCTTCAAATACACCAGGTTCATTTCTATCCCCAGGTGCTTTGCACTTACTGTTTCTTTGCTAGGAGAGCTCTTCCCTAGATTGTCACACTGCTGCCTCCTTTTTAGCCTTCAGGTCTCAATTCAGATGTCACCAAGTAGCCACACCACACCCCAGGTACAATTTGCCATATTATCCTATTTTATCTTCTTCATAGCCCTGAGTTCCTGAAATTGTTTTATTTATTTGTTTGTTTACATGTTATTACCTGTCTCCCCCTCACTCAGAATGCAACCACCCTGGACAGAGACTGTATTTTTTGCATTAAACAGTTCCTGGCACATAGTAAATACTCAGTAAATATTTGTGGACCGAAATCAACTAATTCCAACCAGAGGGGAAAAGGAGTCAGAGAATATTTTTTTAATTCCATAAGCACTGGTGGATAACTTTTTATTAGTTACCATTTAGAAGAAATCAGCCAATTCTACTAGTTTCTATGTAAGGGAATCATGAGATTAATGTGGCTTTCTAGTGAGAAACTTGGCTGCAAGATAGAACTAGCATCTATATTTATGCCACAGAAAAGCAGCTTTTTCAAATAATCAAGACAGATCAAGGTATAAATTTTTAGCCTTATTTGCCAGGTACCAAATTGGAATGATTGCATATGTGTTGCTGTATGCTTAACTTGCTGTAGATCGCCTGCTATTTTGGGGTCCCTTGATTGCTAAACGTTGTTTACTTGATTTCTTTCATTTTAAGTATAGCTGAAAAGGCAGGGCTGATGAGAGGCAAATGTAAAAAGAAAGCCAACGTCAATGATTTTTCAGGCACGCTATAAAACAATTGCCAACAATCTTCAGGTATTTCTTGTACTTTCAAAACTGAAAACTAAGCTCTCCTTGATATGTGCTAAAAATATTTGAATAACTGATATACCAGAAAATCCTGAACAGCTACATAATCACTGAAGCAAGAACATTAAAACTCTGCTCTGGGTGACATGTTTTAGAACAAAGATGCAGGAAAATTAGGCCTCATTTTGGTCAGAGTAGATGAAGTCAAACAAACTTCCCCATTCTTGGTGTCACAGAATCTGAAATTTCTACCATCAGAGCTTCATTTTTTATCCTGGAGTTCTCTTTTAAAATGCATATATTCCTAGAAATATATTAGACAAATTCATGAAGATATTGAAACTAATTGATCCATGTTCCTCCCAGTGGGAGAGATTACCAGTAAGAGAGCCCTGAAAGAGAGAGAAAGATGCATCGGGGAGACTAGAAGCACCAACTCTGGCTTTTCTGAACCTAGTCTGGACCCAATACAGTAGGTAGATGTTGAACAACTTTGCATAATAATATTGAGGGGCAAATGATTTAAGAGTGAATTTTGTGATATGAGTTCCTTAATCTGAGAAAATGGATTTTTTGAACTTTGTGTTGCTATGCAATATGAATTTTGATGGATTTTTTCCAGTTAGGGTCCCAAAGGGAAACAGATGGCACACTTAAATTAGGACAACTTGAAGAGAGTTTCCTTTCAAAGAGACTATTTACAAAGGGGTTAGTGGGGTGTAATGGAAACCCAAGGGATAGTCTAGGAACTAGGGGTTAGAAGCAGCAGTGTGGTTGACACCCTTAGGCCCTAAGGGAGTGATTATCAGAACCTGGAAAGGGAGTGTTATTTGGAGAGACCACCATAAAAGGAGCAATGACCTTGACACAGCCAGAGGCAGACTCACTGGGAAAAAGCCAAGGGTTAAATACCTTGACCTCACTCTTCTCTCTTCCTCTGGTCCTCTGCCAGGGCTCCTTACTGGCCAAACCCAACTGGAAGCTAAAGGGAAAGGGAATACATCCATACCAGGTCAGCTTCTATGGACAGAGAGGACAGTAGAAAAGGGTGGAGAGTAGATCTCAGGAGCAAATGGAAGATATCCAGCATAATGATACTTCATTCACTTGACAGGAAGTTCTGGGGAAGAGCCACCCAAAATCCCTCCCTCTTCCCACTGCAAGCTTTCAGACTGAAGCCATCTGGGGCTGGAGAAGAGGAAAGGATGTGTCTGTAAGATCAATGTGGAGTTTTGATCAATATCTTAGACTGGACATTCCAATTTCTACAAGTCTGTGTCCATAACTGATATTTGACACTCTATGACATCAGAGTGGCCAGAAAATTTAAGGACCTGCCAGAATTTTCATCCTGGTGCAGAAAAAGATGACCCCTGCACTTTATATATATGTAAAGAAGGAATGGGGACAAAAATAAATAAATAAAGTTGAATTTTGGTCATGTTAAAGAATTGTGCTCATTCAACATATGACCTACATAATCTTTTCCAACTATCTCTCTTTACAGGTAATGAAACTGAATTCCAGAGAGCGGGAACACATGCCCTGATTCAGCAAGCCATTTCACATCCAAATCCAAACTAAAGGTATGAATTGAGACATCTATAGGATATGCAGCTACAGGCTTACACAAGCGGTTAGCACTGGGGCAAATTCCAAACAAGGTCAAAGACACTGGTTGGCTATCTTTGCTCTGTCCCTTGGCTGCACACATTACCCTTAGGTGGTGTAGGGTGAGTGGGGGAGCCTCAATGGCCAGGGCAAGCTTCCTTGGTACGGTGACTTGTACCTCTACTCTGAGGTTTGGACCTTAGCTGTGTAATTCAGAAGCTCAATTTCCCCTGTTCACCCAAGAAAAATCAAGCCCTGATGAATTATGTATTTGTCAACCTCACAACAGATTTACTGGTAAATCAAAATGTCCATTGAATTACCCTGAGAAATGTTATTGTCAAAAAGACAAGACTGATATCAGCCGTTCAAGATTCTATGCCTGAATTGTTTGGAGAAAGAATATAGACAAATCAGACATTCACTTTCACTCTCAAGAAAATAATTCAAAGTGTAAATCCATCTGACAGAGGGTCAAAAGCATAAACTTTACATGAAAATGACAACATATAATATTAATAAATTTCTTTGCTGACTATATGCCCTGCATTTTACAAATTCCTTGGTGCTTTTGCTGTATATATACCACAGTGTGGTAAAACCTTGGCATCATAAAACTTTGATTAGCCAGAACTTAACTAGAACCCTTAATTTAAAAGAATTTCTTTTGATACATGTTTCAGTTGTCAATTTATTTCTTCTCAGCTCAAAATTGACCCTTCACTGCCTTGCTTTGTGATGCTAGAGCTGGACCCTGAGAAAATTTCTCCTTTGCAGCTAGCATGATGCTTTGTCAGTAGAATGCTGGAGAGCCACTGCAAGAGGAAAGGTCTTCTCTTCTTTATTCTGATGTGGTTTTCCTGCTCCTGTGGTGTGTGGCAGGCAGTGAGTGCTGGAATCCCAACTGCACTCAACTGCCCAGAGACTCTCCCAGGTACCCTAGGAGGTGATTTTTTGTTTTCCAGCCCCAACTTGCAGCACCTCAGTGAATTTCTCTACTATCCAATGGGTGACAGCTACAGCCTCTCCAGTGAGGTCAGAATCTCAGCTTTGAGAGAGGAAGGGCATTTTGAAATTTGTTCCTTCCTTGGGTACTCAGCCTTACCACCTAAGACAAGCATTCTCAGTGGCGGTGAAAACTGGTCCTTGAGGAGGTGAGATAATCTTAAGTATTACAATGGTTTGTGGTCTTCCAAAGGGCCACAGTACATGAACAGATATACAGTGTGTCTGCAGTATTAAAATTTCATGGAAGGGAGGCAATAGGGGAAAAAATGTTGGAAAATTCTCCTTAGGAGAGCAATAATAGAAAAGAAAGTTGAGTAACACTGCCCTTAGAGTTTAGCTGCTCCCCACATTCACCACTCCTGTATTCTTTAGAGTTCTCTTTACTCATTAGTTAATCCCAATTTTAGTTAACATACTTATTAAGCTTTCCCTGTTCAAATTACTGTGTGGTTTCTGTCTTCTAAATGTGCCTTGACTGACACAACACACTTGACTTCTTTGAAAGAAAGGCAAATAACAATTGAAAATATACTAAAATTAGAGGCTGAGTTAAAAAAAAAAATTCCAGGACATTTCCTAGAGCCTGTAGAGATCAATCTCCAGCCACTTAACATCTTGAACAGTGAGGATATATGCTCAGAATGATGATCTTGAGACCATGACAGATGCCAAATGACCAAAGACAGGTTGTTAGTCTAAACTTAGTAAAGCAAAAGATGGATAAAAATTAAGGTTGAAACAACGCAAGTTTTCTGGATAGCCTTAAACTAGTCAATGCATACTTTAGATACTGAACACATTTTTCATTTATAACTATTTTAAGTGCTAAACTTTGAGATAATGATGACTATAATAATAATAACTAACATATTGGGGGCACTGAATTATGTGCCATCACTGTTCTAAGCTCTGTCACTCTGACAAGAGGACTGAGAATGGATAGGAAAAAGCCAAGAGTACAAGCAAGGAGGCTAGTTTGGAGACTACTGCAGAAGTCCAGGCATAAGATGACAGTGGCTTGGACTAAGGTGATAGCAGGGAGATAGAGGGCATGCTGTTGACTTAATGATACCAGATCAGAAAGGGCTCCCTAGCCTCTTCAGCCACCAAACAATCTGCACCAGAGCAATCATTCGATTCACTACCAGAGAAACAGGCCTAGAAGTGGAAATAGAATTTTTTATTTATTTGTTAAGTTCCCACAATGTGGCCAGTACTGTGTTACCCAATGTTAAGTGCACTCAATAATAATAACCACACATTTTTGAGTACCTTATGACCCCTTTAAAGTTATAAAATGATAATGCTATTAGAAGAACAGGTAGAATATATTTGAGACTGAGACGGGGAAGAACTTTGTAAATCAGACCCAAAAAACCACAAGACAAAATTTTGACAGATTTGACCATACCAAAATTAAGGATTTCTATTCAATGGTCATCATAGACAAGCTTATGCAGACAGAAGACAGATCAAAATAAAATATTGAGAAGATATTTCAAATCAACAAAGAATTAAAACCTGGCATACAAAGGAGATCCGGCAAATCAAATAAAGCACCCAACAGAAACTCTTAAAGGAAAAAATACTCAATGCCACTTGTTAAAGATGATAAGGCAGGCTTTATTCAGGACCATCGCAATACGTATAGGGATCACTGTAATGAGATTTTTACAATAGCGGAGATTGGGCTCAACTCCGAATACACCATAGGCAAGTGGCAATTTATAACCAAGGAGTAGGGTAGGGGTCAGTGGATGGAAAATTACTAAGAGGAAACATCAGGGGTAAGGAGGATTCTAACTAAACTGACCTAACAGGATTCTTGCTGGAGGTAGGCCAGGGTGATCAGACATCCCCTGGGGATGGTGGAGGATGAAGAAACTGATCAGATATCAAGGGTCAGGGGTTCTTGTTAAACTGACTTACCAGGGTCCTCGCTAAAACTGGATTTTATGGAGAAGTGCACAGATGCGCCTAGGAGAAGTTTCAGGAGCCTAAGTAAAGTTTGGTCAAGCAAAGAATCTTTGTCAAAACATTGACAAAGAGTATGAATAGCCAGTTCTCAGAAGTGGAAACCCAAATGACTAAGAAGAGTTGAAGAGAAATTCGATGTTACTAGTAAACAGAGGAATGCATATTAAGACTATTTGAGATACTATCTTACACCCAATAGATTTGTAAAAATTAGAAAGCTGGACAATGATTTGGTAGTCTTGGCAAAGACGTAGGGGAGCAAGAACTCTCATGTGCTGCTGGTACGACTGTAATTAGACACAGTATTCTAGAGAGCACTTTGGCAGTGTTTAATCGTGTGTGTGTGTCTGTGCACATGCACTCGCATGCATATACACGTGCAGTCAATGACTCAGGAACCCCTCTCCACATAGTCACACAAGGAGACATGTACAAAGATGTTCATCACAGGGTTGTTGAGTTAGAGGTAGTCTGGGTATCTATCACTAGTGGAATGGAAATGTTAAAAGTATCACACACGTAATATGGAACCTTAACAGTGGTTCAAAGAAATTAGCTAGATGTGCATAAAGGAACATGGAAAGAACTTAAAAACAGCATTGTGTAAAAAAGCAAGAAACAGAATAAGAACCATTGAACAATACAGAATTAAAACACATACATTCATAGAACATTATATAAAAACCAACTCGGGGATATGTGCATATCCAAGCACATAGTAAATACATTTCAGTGGCTGCCAATGCTGGAGATGAAGGGGGGAAACAATAAATTAACAGAAAAAATGATAAAGTAAAATAAAACAAGAAAAGGGCTCACAAGGATGATCATGAACTGAGGAGGGAGATTAACTCAAGTCTTTGCACTTAAAGTCCAAAGAAAGAAAAGAAAGATCCAAATCCTATCTTCCTTGAAGTTTTCTCATTCCACAAATGAGAAGCAATACCCACTTTTTAAGATAATCCATGTAAACAGCTGTGTGAGTAGCTCATCCATCTAGCCAGTCCTTCCAGGTCTCTGGGGACACTTGAGCAAAGCACATACCCATGAAAAGCCAGAGGGTGAGAATAAAATAGAGTAGAGCATACACTTGCAAACTGAACTCTATAAACCAAAGCCTAAACGCAGCTTTACGAAACTAGATGTGCAGTGTGAAACCAAGAATGAACATGTTCGGGTGTCAGATCAGTGACCCTAGCTTGGTTATTTCCCTCAAGCAAAAAGAAAAATTATTTGAAATATTATCTAACTATGAAAAGCAGAACAGAGCAGACAAATAGGTAGCTCTAAGTCATCTGCAAAGAAAATTTAATTGGCAAAGGTGGATTTGTATCATCAGGCAAAAAAAATACATAGACCTATGTGTGTGTGTATATAGATTTTTTTTAAAAAGTGAATTGATCTCAGGTTTCTGTTTGCTTCAAATTGCCTTCAGTCAAACAGGACACACAAAGGAGCCTGGTGTGATTCCAGGACTCTTTCTTTTTAAGGTTGCCAGGTTTGTCCTCTTAGAGGGAATGAGAGCGAACAAGGCTGAATATTTCTCTGTGTTTCTGAGAAGGGCTTGTCTCGCCAGAGTCCTTGCAGCTGCATACACCACCTGCGGAATAAACCTGTTGCCCTTTTTCAGTTCATTCTTTCTCATCTCCAACTGCCTGCCTAGACAGACAATTGCTGGGAATTCACGTCTTTTGTTTTTCCTTAGCTTTAAGACTCTAGCCAACTCACTTAAATTACCCTCTAAAGTTAGCAGGTACTGCTTTTAAATGGAAGCCTGAGAGGTGGGGAAGTGAGGAAATGAGGAGTGAATTCTTGGTTCTTTGGTGCTACATTATCACTTGATCCTTCCTCGGAGTTATCTTTTGTACCTAAAAATCCCTTTATTTGACCATTAAAGTCAATGATGCTGTAAGCTGCACTCAATCCGGATACTTAGATATTTGAAAACGTTTTTGGCTACAATTTCATTTGGCTCTCATTTCATAGTAGACTCACCTATAGGTTTGACTAAAAGTATACCAAGAAATCCTTTAGCAGCACACCAAATTTAATTAAAGAAAATTAACTTTAAAATGTGTATAAATTTAAAAGAATATAACTTTTAAAAAGTATATAAAGACATACTACTAAAGTAAAACCATCACAAAGACATAATTTTACAGGAGAAAAAAACCTTAGCAATTACTGACTGACCTCTTTATTTTTTTTCTGACTCCACTGCAACATACTCAGTAACGGCTCTCCTACATAATGAGGCTCACCTGGGAAAGACAAACACCTATGCTGTAGTTTGAAAAGATCCCTTTTGTTTTCCCCACATCAAGTTTACCAGTTTTTAGAGACCATTTGGTGCTGATGATAAAATTCATGTGTGATTCACAGAATCTCTGTTTTATCAGCCAAACTGTGCTTCAGCTTTAACTGGATGACATAAGGCAGCCGTCTGTAGGGCCATGGACACGAAGCAACTGAGTCCCCATCTGCAGAGAAGCAGTGAGTACCTGCACATTGTTTAATGCCCTTTGTAAGCTTATAATTAAATTACACACTTCCTCTGCTATTGATTAAAGTATTTAGCACTCAAAGTTTTTTATTGGCTATTAGATATAAAACATTTGATGTATTATCAAAAGCCTAAGATATTATAATCAATTAACAATTTTTATGATGCAGTGTCTGGCTTTGATTTCTAAAATTTTATTACACATATTTATGTAAAAGTTACCAATATAGCTGAACATAAAACAATTTTTCATAATCTCGCCGCCTAGAGAAAATAGCATTTTCCCACATATACTTCTAGTCTTAAACAAGAATATTTTACTTCAAAATTTTCACCCAAACAGACCTGTTTCTGCAAAGGTGAGCTTCTGAGAAACCAACTTCCTTTGTGCAAACAGCAGATTCTGCTTTGTGGGGAAGGAAGTGGCTCACATCCTGGTTAACAGGGGATCATTGTTACTTTATCAGAATTGGCATAAAGCCTTCTCCAGCCAAAGACAATCATGTGACAGAGACTCCCAGAGTTGGGTCTGTCTTAGGAGAAAGGGGCTTAAAAGCCAATTTTACTCACATACAGAGTGTTCTAGTCAATTTCCATGTCTTCTCTCTAATTACTACAACCCAGAAAAACATGAGTTTGAATCCCAGCTGTTCCTTACAAGCCAGGTAACTATGGGTAAATTGCTAACTCTCTCTTTGCCACAGTTTCCTCATCTGTTAAATAGGGACAGTAATAGTATTGACCTCATTGCATTCTTGCAAAGACTGAGTTATTACAACAGAGCCCTTAGTGCCTGGCCTGCTGTAAGGTTTCAACAAATGTCTGCAGCATTGTTGTTATAGTCGTGGATTGCCATGAGGATTATATGGAATACTCTATTTGAACTCCTGACACACTTAGGAATTATTGTAACAATACTTAGTATTACATGGAAGGTTTGTTCTTAACTATCTACTTTTTCACTTGGCATCACTCCCTGGTTTTTCCCTCTAGTCCAGTGCTATTCAGTAGAACTTTCTGTGATCATGAAAATAGTCAATAATCTCCTCTGTCCAATATGGTAGCCACTAGCCAAATGTGTCTATTGAACTCTTGAAATACGGCTAGCACAACTGAGGAATTGAATTTTTAGTTTTAACTTTATTTAATTTTAATTTTAATAGTCAAAGTTAGCACATTGATTTCTGTCTGCTCCTACTCCTGTCTCATCACCCAATTGCCTTTAGGCACAAAGCAAATCCATCTGTAGGGACTTTAGTAAATGTCTCTTCATTCATGTTAAGTTTTGAATAACTTCGCTTTCTACGCAGTACCTTCTTGATAAATGATAAAATATAATTCTACCATTAACAAAGCAGAAACAAACTGGATATATTTCTAGTGTCAAGCTTCTCCGCCCAGTCTGGCTTTCCACTAGGAATTTTGCAAACTTTAATAACTTTTTCAAAACATTTGGCAGATTAGTTGAAAAGGTTGCTTTACAGATCTGGAATGAAAAAGGGGCACTTTTGTTATCAAATGCCCTCCCTTACAATATACAAGAAGGTAATTCTTGATCTGCTCCGATTCTGTGTCTTTGGGTCCGTTCTGTACCTCCCTGTGGACTCTTGCTCAAAGCCCCCTTCTGAGCTTCAAGCAGATGCCTTCATCCACAACACCTGTTGGTGCTGAGTCTGAACTTGACCAGGTTCCCTGAGGGCAGCCACTGAGTTAACTCAGAGCCAGTGGCTTCAGGGCTGGGTCCTGGAAGTGAGCCCACACCCACTTTTTCCAGGTTCTAGGGTCCCTGCTCCTCTTCCCTCTGTTGTAAAGCCAATCTTAACTAGGTAATTCACCTAACACTTATATCAAAGAAAAGCTGTAAAACTAAAACAATTTTGCATTAGGTAAGATGAGCTCTTCTCTCCCAGGGAAAGGCTGCCACCTGCTGTAATACATTAGCATTGGGCTTTTCCAAGGTCACTGAGCAAAAACTTCCTCCATACAAAATTAATGTATGCACAAGCTACCTGCCTTCACCACTGTGTGTCAGGAGCATAAGGAGGAGGGCAAACCGGGAGTCATTCCTCTTAATTTTTTGACATAGGGCAGAGAAACAAACTCATCCATATGAATGGTGCCTAGAAGGAATAGGTATCACCCTAAGTCTGAATATAAGAGAATCCTTTCTTCACCACTCAGCAGCACTGTTTTTCAAATTAGCTCACAGTAACCATGAGAAAATCTCTGCCGTTAATAGGCTTATTACTTCCTCGATCATTCTGTGTAGTTCTGTGTATCTTTATCTATTCTTCACAGTCCTGGCAAGTCTTTGGTAGGTGAAAGGATGAGAGGAGAATAAAAATTAACAGTTTTCAGGGCAGCATCCTGAGCCTTGCACTCTAACTTTCTGCAAAAATCCCAAACTCCTTTCCCCTCTTCTCCACTCCCACCCTGACACCATTAATTACCCACCAGCTGCTGTAGTTTACACACACACACACACACACCCCTTTGAGAAGTTTTGCTCTCCATTATCTTCCCAGCAAAAAGTCTCACCACTCCCACGCTCTCTCCCTAAATTATGTCTTTATATCTGGAAACTTATCAAACTTAAAGAATTACTTAGGGATTCCAACTTTGAGTAAACTTGAGTATAAACAAACTGACATTTACAACTAAAAAAATCCAATATTCAAAAAGTTTGCAATATGAGGAAAATATATACAAGAACCAATAACGCCTAAGAAAAATAGCTGAAAGAATATCTCGCTGCCTGGTTTTAGCTTTGTAGAGTCCATGGCACTGACACAGCTGATAACAGATATAAAATATCTGCATAATATTTGCCAACCTCTTCAGGAAACTGTGTTATTTTTCTCGCTGTAAGTCACTGGAGAGCTCTAGATTACCACACCAATATCTCCTGCCTACATTTACAGGCAGGAAAAAGCAGGTTATGGAGGAAGGAAGGGACAGAAATGTTTTCGTTGACGTAAGAGAAGGTTTAAAAAAATTGCATCAATAGGCAAAGAAATGAACCCTTACAGTATCCAAGCTGCTTCACATTTGTGTGTGTATGGTTTTTTGAATATGTTTTTTAAGGCAATGTTTTGTTTATTGTAATATTATAACAATACTGTTTTAAATTCTACCTCTCTAGGTTTTATTTCATTTTTCTGCTTCTACAGTTTTTGGCATCTGTATTGCTTTCACATACAGTTTTGTAATCGACACAGCATTTTTAATGTCTTGAACTACTCCTCTGAGTTGTTCTAACAAAACTTACATAATTATTCCCCAGGTGTTGAAGATTTAGTTTCCAAGTTTCTCATTTTAGTTAATACTGAAATAAATATATTTATGGAAAACGCTTTTTTCCTTCTTCTAGTTAATTCATCATCCATTAGAGTGAAGGACATGTAGTAAATGCTTAGCAAATATTTGTTGTATAAGTAAATATTTATGATCAATTATCAGAAATTAGAATATAAAGTCAAATATGAAAACAATTCTGGTGTAAGCAAACTTAATGTCTCTTGGTATAGATTACTAAATAGCTTTCCAAAAGAATTTTACTTATTTGCAATGTCATCAGATAAGTTGTTTAGCATATCATTTATATCAAAACATCTTTTTAAATCTTGTTAATAAGAGCTCAAGTCATGACAATAAAACTGCTGAAATCAAAAGATGTGGAGAGTGTGGGTCACATTTTTAATTGTTTTTAACATCTGTACTTGATTTTAGTTGAATTTCTCATTTAAGTCCCCATTCAAACTTGCAGGGCAGAATATGTAATGGGATCAGTTAACCTCCCAGATTTGAACATCTTAGGCAGTTTGTATTTATGGCTTTAACCCAAAGGGCTAAAGAGGGTCAGACTTTGTTATAAGGTGAAGTGTGGGCTGGAGGGGAAGGACAAGAGGCCATACGTCTTGGTTATTCAGAATGTGGTCCCCAAACCAGCTGCATGACCTGGGATATTAGAAATGCCATCACTTGTTAGAAGCGCAGAAGCCCAGAACTACTGAATCTGTATCTGCATTTTAACAAGTTCCAGGTGATTGTTATGCACATTAAGTTGGAGAAGCAGTGCTCTTGACAGTGAAAATTGCACTGCCAGTTGTCTAAGGGCTTTAGCAGAAAAGAGAGCCCACCATGAATATTAATGGAGAGCTTTAAATATAAGCTTATATAGTGTTTCACAGCAACTCAGACCCCTCCGTTTTTCAAGTACAGATTTTACTTAAATCATCCTGGCAGATAATGGATTATCTGATTTCTAAAATCCTCTAGAGATGAGCTTTCAACACTCTTTCCTAAAATTCCTTTTGCCACCAATGAAAATAACTTGCTTTTCTATGAGATTTAAGTTCCTGGAAACCAAGGAACTTTGTTTACTTATATCAGAGATTGTCATAGTTACATCTTTGATACACTTACATCAGAATCGCCTATCCTTGAGTGCCTGTTAAAAAGTACAAAGATTTTGGCCTTAATTCAGTCCTCTGAATCAGAATCTCTGGGTTTGGGGCTTTAGAATCTACATTTTAAATAAGCTGACCAGTTGATTCTAATGCACATCAAAGTTTGAGAACCACTGTCTTTCAAGCTTTAGCAGAAAGCTGAACACATGAGCAGTGGTTCTTAACCTTGGATGAACAATGGAATCACCTGGAAAACTTTAAAGAAATACGGATGTCTGAGTCCCAATTGCCAAGATTTTTTTTTTTTTTAAAGATTGGCACCTGAACTAACATCTATTGCCAATCTTTTTTTTTCCTTCTTCTTCTCCCCAAAGCCCCCCAGTACATTGTTGTATATTCTATTTGTAGGTCCCTCTACTTCTGCTATGTAGGATGCCACCTCAGCATGGTTTGATGAGCAGTGCCATGTCCTTGCCCAGGATCTGAACTGGCAAAACCCTGGGCCACCAAAGTGGGGCACGTGAACTTAACCACAAGGCCATGGGGCTGGCTCCACCAAGATTTTTATTTAATTGGCCTGG